GTTAGTTCTTATTATTGTAATAATGAATTTCTTGCACATTAAAGCCTTGAGCGATACGATTTTTGTTTGTAATACATTGCATCATATTTCATGCTTAGTAGGACTCTAAAATATGTCATCTACGCTCTTTATAACTCACTTTATAAATGTCGTTACTTTATTTGAAAAAGTGTCTAACAGTTTCGTTATTTAAGTATCTCTAATCTTGGAACTCCTATAAATGTAATATCTTCAAAATATGCGTCTTTTTGTTCTTTTTGTTACGATTATGCCTGCTTAGATAAAAAAAAAAAAAAAAAAAAAAAAAAAAAAAAAAAAAAAAAAAAAATAGGTTGATCCGTTAGAGCCTTACTATATCATTTATCTGATAACGACTTCGTTTTTAAATACAATAAATGTTTGTAGATTCTCATAGGAAAGCTACGAAATTAAAATAGTTATTATTTAATTGTAAAATGAGTAAAATGAAAATGTATAAGATTATGAACGTTTATTTGGATAAAATTTTTAGTTGGACTTAATTAACGAGAGTAATTAAGGAAATTTCGTTACAATTTTATAAATTAAAATATAATTTCCAGAAAATACTTGATAAAATTAATATTATAATGCATTTTTTTTGTTTTTGTTTTTATTTATTTATTTTTTCTCTAATGAAATACTACGTTTTTTTTTTTTTACCTTAAATTAGCTTGTAATGCTTCAAAAAGTCTTATACAATCAATAGAAAGCTTTTTGTTTTCTTTCTATTTTTCTATTAAAACGATTGAATTTTAGAAAATTTGTAGGAATCGAGTCTTTTATTGTCCTATATAAAGTCCTATTCGTTATTAGTTTGATCCGTGCTTGGCTATATTCGATTGCTCTTAATATTATTTTTTATATGGCATTGTACGTATGTTAAAATATATCATGATGACGATAAAATTGTATCAATATTTGCTCATATTAAATACTTTATATTCCTAGAATTTATTCCACATTACGACAAAACAAGAATGTAGCGAGTATCTATGATTTTATTATAAAAGTAACTGTTGATTTGAATTTTTTCCTTCATAATGAAGTATCAATTGTAAATTTAAGAAAAGAAGAAAAAAAATAGCTGCTATTATGCATATTCTAAAATTAATCATAACATTTTAAAAATTAATATTTTCCGGCTTATATACTACCCAAGTTTATATGTATATTGAATAACTAAAAACATTTTCCTAATATGTTTTTTTTTTCTTCATACGAATGTTATTTATTTTGATATTATTGAAATTATTATAAATCATAATGCTTGATGTACAATAAAAGTTTTGTTCATAAGCATTATTCGATATTATAAATGTGAAAATAATTTTTCGCTTATTTATCTAATTTATTTAAATTTTCATATTTATTATTTTATCATTGAAACGATTAAAGTTTTTTTTTTTTTTTTTTTTTTTTTTTTTTTTTATAATTGTTTTCGTCAAATATTATTCATACATGATTATTTCCATTACGTTTCAGCTTCAAATAATGCAACGAAATAAACCTTTTCTTTTATAAATGTGAAACCCAAATATCAAACTTTAAAACGCTGATTATAATAAAGTACAAAATTCGATTCGAACAATGTAGTCCTAACAAAATTTATAGGTTCGTTAGTCGACAATTTATTTCATTCAATATTTATATTTTAATTTTGATTGATTTTAATGTACTGGCCAGAATCTATTTATTTGTCTTACTGGCTGCATCTATTTATTTTATTTTTACGTTTTTTCAATAACCGTAGTACGAGAATGAGACGTTTGAAAGATCTACTATGAAAATATCAACATTTTACAATATCTTAGAAAAATAAAAACAATTACTTTATCATAAAACTGTAGTTGTAATGTCGATTAACTATAAATTTACGTTTTATTAAATTACATAAAGTTTTTTGTCATCTATCCTACAAGATTTCTAATGGGATTGATTTAAACGATAAGAGTCATTCTAAACGATAAGAATTATTATTAATATTTTCAATCGCTTCTATCGTTTTAGCGATTAATTTAAGTTTAACTTTAAATATTATGAATTGCACAACGAAGTATTCAGTATTTTATATATTATATTTCTTACCATATTTAATCATTTTCATTTGTTCCTTTTTCATAAAACAAATACACCAGCTAACAAATGAAAACAGCTACTCAATTTAAATTTTGACAATTTGTCTACTTTGATAATATGAATTTCCAAGTAATTTAATTATTTCTCTGTTAACTTTTTCTCTTTATTAATTGCAAATACATAGCTATTATTGTTAATTTTTTTTTTCTTTTTTTTTTTCCTTTTTAATTTATTATAATTCAATTGTTTTAACGTATATTTTTGCCATTGTATGATAATTAAATATATTGTTTTCATACGTTTGTATAATAAATTTAATCAAGCTGTGTTTCGTATTGGATTTCAATTTTGTAAATTAACCAAATATTTTAATTTTGTAATATCAATGTAGAAATTACAGATTAAAAATATCAAGTGAGTTTAAAATAACAAAAATATTTGTATTCTTTCGTTACTAAAGTAAATAAATAATTTTCTATTTATAAATAATAAATAGAAATTTAATTAATGCTACTTATTTACTTCCTCCTAATTTATTTTCATCTATATTTACATTTATATGTGATAAAGAATACTTGAAATTATTGCAAGTACATTAATTTATTATGCATTTACAATTTCTTGTTTAAAAAATCGTGATTTCATAATCTTTTTTTAAATTTACTCCAATTGAATAGATAAATATTGTATATTGTGATAAACGATTAATGATTCGTTTATAAGAAAACATGCGTATTTTTTTTTGTTGAGAAATATATTGTTAATGAATCAACAATGTTTGACCACTAAAAGGCAATTTTTTATCTTAGAAACAAGGGTTTCGTCTTTATAAAAATGTCACTTGCATTATTATTTAAAATAATTTCAATCCTTCGTGAGTTTTAGAAATTAGGACAAATTTGATTGATTTTACTGAAAATTGTAATACATTTATTCTTCGAATCATAATAGCACACATTAGCATTGTAAATGTATCTCTTATTGAACAATAAATTCAAATGTTTATAATGATAACATCACCTATGTCATTTATATTTCAATATCTTCCCAAAAATAGGCACATTGAAATAAAAAGTTTTTTTCATAAAAAGTAATGGTTACTTGCTTTATTATTTTGAAAGTTTTCAATTCTGTGGAACTTTGGCATTAATTCTTAAAAAATGCTACATGCCATGTATTTAAAGAAAATCATTTTTCTAAATAGTACGAAACTTTATGAAGCACGTTTACCCGGGACATAAAAACTAGGTAAAACCGATAACTGGTATCTTCTACTCGAGGTCGAATATCGTCTATTTTTTTCCATTACACAATCGCAAAAGACGATCTTAGCGAAACATACTTTTCTGAAGCCAGTAAATGCGATTATTACCGTTACTTGCTACACGATATGGTGAATATATGAATACATATTTATTAAATTGTGTTTTTCTAACTTCTATTTCTAATGTGTGTATTTTATACTTATTACAATTGACATGTTGTAAATTTACTCGATACTAAAGATATGTACGTTATGTATATGCACGTTATGTATATGTACGTTTATTTATTTAGTTAGTAGTTTAGTATGAGTGAAAAAAATAATTTTTACGATAAGATCTGTTTTATATGAAATTCTGTATTATCAAGCTTTCACGCGATTTATCTACATAATAATAGTAGAAAGTGTTGAGATTTCTTTCACATTAATTATTTACAAATAACATAAATTCTTGTGAGAATTTACTCACTAGTATGAGAAAAGTGTTTCAACTTTTGTTCAAACACATTTTTTTTTTTATGAAAAAAGAAAATTAAAATATACATAAGCATTGTGCACATATGTTATTTTATTTAATAATTATATTGTACGTTTGAGTTATTATGTTATTATGGTAATATTAAACGTTTACACGAGCATTCTTCGAAAATATTAATGTATAGGAGATTATTTGAAATTTATGACAATATTTCTTCAAATTTAAAATGTTCAATGCTTCATATTATAAATACTTCATTTTTATAAATTAAACTCGTAATTATTAATATTTAAAATTTCCTAAGATTGAGTAATTTAGAAGAAACAATACATATTGATAAGGTAAATGACACACAATCATTTGAAAGATTAAAATGTGTTGTATAAGAATGAATATTTAATATGCGACGCAGACGTTCCATTTTTTAAGTGCAAATTTTAAGAAAAGAAATTTAAAAAAAAAATATTTATAAAAATATTAAACACCTTATGGATACGGTTTAGTTACATTTTTAATTAATTATACGTTAATTTGTTACAAGTACAAATATTTTTAAATACGTTTTTAGAAAACGCGTATGATCCATTATATTAATAGTCTGGAAGAGTGAAAAAAAAAAAAATTTTTTTTAATTAAATATTTTTAAATAATAAATTAATTATCTATGCCGTAGGGTACATTTGACTTTCTAATGTATTAAAAGTTAATTACTCATTAACTGCATATTTAATCATCATATATAGGCTAGATAGATACTTTGTAATTTAGAAACAATGAAAAGAAGGAATAAAGTAATCATAAATTTAAATTACGACAAAATAATCAATATTAATGTTGCTTATATTTTAATAATTTAAAAATTTTTTTTCAATTTAACATATTAAATATGTAATTTTATAATAATTTCGCTAAATCATTATCCTAAACCAGGATAATTTGTAGAATTATGTTATTGTTAGATATCGGTTTTATATTATTATTATTCTATCTCTAAACTTATCGATTATATTAACTTTTTATTGAATGTGAACAATTTTTTTTTATCTATTATACGGTATATTATAGCTGGAAACTGTATTGCGACTGATCGTAATAAAAATATTTAATGTTGCAGAAAAAACATGAAAATAAATAAGTAAATAAATGCTTTTATATTAGTTTTTATTATAGTTTTAAAAACAATTAAGAAAGAAGGGAGTAATTGTACAAAGATAAATATGTGCAATCAATGCACTTTAACAAAATTAAATAATTCAACTATCCCTAGCTCCAATTTCTTAAATAATTCAATAAAATTTTTCATACGGTTATAAAATGATATAAATTATAATCTCTAGACAAAGGTGACTTCGTCAAGTCACCATGATATTTCAATTAACTATCACTGCAACCTTAAAAATTCATTTATAATTGGAGCTACTTTTTCAGGATTATTCAAATGAACATGATGCGTTCCCTCTACTTCATGGTACTCAAATCTTCTTGAATTAATTTTTATAATTTCTAAAACTTTCTGATAATTCTCCGGTTCATCAAATATCATTCCAGGCACAGCTCGGATATTGAGATAAGCACATTTTATCTGAGACGCATAAGCTATCGCTAAATCTAGCGATAACATGCCAAGCAACGCAACCTAAAATGTAAGATAAAAAAATGCAAAAATCTGCATTAATGATACAATATGATGGGAACCTGTTAAATTTAATAAATAAAGTAATTTAATTCTCACCTTTAGTCTTGGGTCTCTACTAAAATAGTACTTTCCTGAAGCAATTGCGGGTTGCATGCCTCGTTTCATCAATATTTCAGCACTCTTTCTTGTAATTGAACCTTTATACGCATTGTGAACTATATCGATCATTACGCTATATTCATAGCAAGGTACGTTATAAGCCATTAAATTTTCATATTTAAGAAACTTGTCGACTTGATCGCCTGTTGTTTTAGCACAATCATTAATATTTTTTACACTAGGACTAACTATATCTAGGCTTATTACAAAATCGACTTCTTCTGGAAATGAAGCTGCATACATGAAAGATATCGCACCGCCCAGAGAATGACCAAGCAGTTTTATCTGAAATAAAATTATTGAAATACACAGATATCAATTAACATGATTATAAATATTTGTACAAATATCGAAATTTCTAATAAACTATTTACAAATTTACAAATAACTAATTATTTACTTTATTGTATATGAAACGTAAAATGCGGTATCAATGATAAATTTAAAAGAAATTCAAACTTGCTCCGAACTTTCAAAAAGTTTCACATTGTAGCTAACCTTGTTCCATTTATAATGTTTAATTATTCTACGAAGAAGATTGATGCCTTCCCAATACATATAATACAAGTGTCCTTTCGGAAAATGAGAAGATAAACCATGCCCAGGTAAATCCAAACACAGCACTGACGTATTTGTTGATAACAATGGAATTAAATTATCAAAGCTGCCTGCATTATCTTCACGACCATGCAATGCTAAGATTGGTTGTTTTTCTTTAGGACCCCACCACTTTCCTACGAATAGTAAATTCTATTATTGTAGTATGCTATGACATCTTTTTATCAATTAAGTTATCAGTAAATGTAGTTTCATTTTATTCAATTGAATTTAGTAAAATTAATTCCATGTAGCAAAATGATCAAAATTTACATTGCACTTATATTAGTTAAGTAACTTAGTTTACTTATGGACATATTGTTAAGTTTATATTGATAATCGAGTAAATTACATTCATAAATCAATATAAATTTAATACAAAATAAATTAATATATTATAAATCAGTCAAATCATATATTGTTAGTAGATGAAAGCTAAATTTCATTATTTGTATACTATAGAATATAATAAATATGCGCTTTATGTTCTTTCGATATGCGTAAGTTACAGTTATGTATTCCAATTATATTTGATGTCATCTTAAATGAAAACGATTATTTTAATAGAGACATTATATTTTACTGTTAAAAAATAGTTTTAAATCATTAAATGGAAACAAAGTGAAAGCTGGTAGAATTTTTTTTTTATATGTAACGCCTTGATTAAATCCATCAAACATTTTTTGTCGGAGCAAGTTCTGTATAAACGAAACAGAAATTTACAATCCCAATAACTTTGATGTTTACTGACACAATAACAGCTTTTAACAAAAGTTCTTTTTTAACTCATCGGCTAACCTTATCCCACTTGTAGTGCTTAACAATTCTACGTAGGACTATAATTCCTTCCCAAAATATATAGTAAAATTGCCCCTGCGGAAAATGAGATGAATGGCCGTGTCCAGGAAGGTCTATGCTTAGTATAGACACATCCTTTGATAGAAGTGGTGAAAGGTTCCAAAATGTTCCTGCATTATCTTGCCATCCATGCAAAGCAATTATTGGTTGTACATCCGATGGACCCCACCATATGCCTACATTTTTTATAATAATGCATGTTGACAACCAATATAAATGATTTTATTGGATCAACTAAAATTTAAGTATAAACAAGGTGGACAATGTCGGTAAATTAAAATAATTAATACTGACCACTTATGTAACCCCAAGGCACTGGAATATGGACCTCCTCAAATTCTATTTAAAAATAATAAATCAATCAATCATTTATAATTAAATATTAATATAATTATGAAAAATCATGTAATTTATTTTATTTTACCTCGCACATTGCTTTGCTCAAAGGATTTTCTGTCGTCAACGTCATTCGAGTCATTCATGGTAACTTTCTCTGAATTTCCTTAAACTTGAGATATCTTGATGTTAAGCTGATTTCGAAAATTTAAAAAATGTAATTTTACATATATATATGCTCTTTTAGTTTTAAGATACTTCTTTCATTAAATATTAACTAGATTAATCTAAAGGGAAGGAATCATTATAATATTCATTAAATTTAGAAGAACTATTTTAAATTATTCTCAAGCATTATATTTGCATTGATGATATTTACACGAACCCATACACGCTTCGTTTTTAAACATATACACATATGCGCACATAAACATATATATATATATATATATATATATATAAACATATGTGCATTTATATATAAATATTGATTTTAACTTTCACTAATCCACTGAACTTGCAATTCAAACATTTTTATTGGAAACAATTACGTTAGAAGAGGAGTTTCGGCATGTAATGAAATTGTAATTTATAATTTTAGAAAAATTAGTTGTTAAATAGATTGAAATATTCAAGAAGAGTCATCGTTTTTAAGTTCTACCTTACATTATACAAAGAACATATATTTCTTTAAAATGATAGCATTTCAAGACTCAGCTGTTTTACCGATTGGGTATTAGGGAACAAATTAAAAAAAATAAAAAAAAAAAAAGAAGAAAACTTTTCAAATTTCGTTTAAAGGTAAAAACAAAAACAAATGTTATGTTGAATCTCATCAAATGAATGTATGTTTTAACTTTCATTATAACTTTACAACTATGTTTTATACAATATATATATATATATATATATATATATATAGACTTAACATTTTACCGTGCAACTTTAAAACAGTGTTTTATAATTATATATATATATATATATATATATATATATATATATATATATATATATTCAATAAAATAGCATTATTTGTGTATTTATAAATAAATAAATATATATATTAAAGTAAAGAATGAAGATAATTAGTTTTGAATTAATAGCAACTGAATAATGTATCTGTGTAATTAAAATTGAATTGAAACGTTAAATAGACATATGTATAAAAGATTTTTTAATTTTTAAGCATTATTTTGCGACTTCTCTATACACATTAAGAATAAAACAATCAATAGTTGATTACTTTTTCGGATTATTGATTTTTTAGTTGGTAATTTTTTTGTTCATTATTCATTCATATAATAATTAGTAGCAATTGTGGTGAATATATGGCAGTAGGATGGCTTTTTTTTTTTTTTTTTATATCTTTCAAAATTCATAAATGCCTTTAATGCAATCGATTTATCGTTAAATCGACTGAAAAATTCAGTTCTGTTTCGGCAATATTTTTTTTATTCCTTTCCAAATTAACCAGTCGTGCAATCAATTGACTTTTCAATTTGAATTTACCGCTTCGTCTTCTTTGCAGTGCTTATGCGCGCGCGCGCGCGACCCGTCAATTAATGTACACAGTACGACTGTGAGAAACGTCAGTTTAGTAATGTTCGTGAATGCCAATATCTCATCTAGGAAATAAATATAATAAATTCACTAGCTATTTTATATCATATCTTCATTATATATCGATTAAAGAGAGACGTTAAGCGAAAGAAATTGGCGACCAATAATGATAAAATCGTGAACGTTGATGGCTTGTTAATTAAACAATGGCGTATTATTCAAAGTGGCGTACATTTAAATATTCAACGATTATAAGAATAGCGTCGTAACTTGGATCTCGAAAGTTCAGCTTTACCATTAGCAACAGTTGTTATTATGAGAGTTAAGTAATTTCTTTGCATAGCATAGTCGAGTCGCGCCAGAATGGTACGTGTTATTCCAGTGCACAATTTCCTTGAGCAAAATGTCGCACAAGTGGAGGAACCGACGGCGAGTTGTATTGCCAGTATACCGGAATCCAATTGCGAGTTTTTGCTCGTTGCTCAATCGAGCCACTGCGTCGAGGTCCGGGATCTATCGACGCCCGAGCTGGGATTTACCAGCTCATTTCCAACCGTTGATCTCGTTAGCCAAATGGTTCACTGTATCAAGGGCAATTATGTCGCTACCCTGGAGAGTAAGCTCTCGAGGGACAATGTCCACAGCAGCAGTTTCGTGAGGATTTATGTGAATTGGGCTAGCCAGGAACGCCAAGCGATGAGGGCCAGGATTGCTGGGCGAGTCACACCTAGCTTGAACCGGCCACAGAACAGCCTTGAGATGATCGAGCTGCCTGTCAACTTGAAACCTTCTGTCATCGCGTGCTGTCAGACTACTGGTAATCTTTTGGTGTCAATGGGCAATATTCTGCTTCTGCATGAATTTAAGATCGAAACTCAGAACTTATCCAAGATGAAGTTTATTGATTTCGAGGCCAGACCTTGGTCTATAGGATTAAATTTTTCACCCACCCATCTGCAAATCATGGAGGACTTTATATCGGTAATGGATTCTACTCGTTTCGTTGTATTTCGACTGACCAATCCACTGTACGACGATATCGATCATTTGAGCTCTCTAACTTCTACAACTTCGTCTTCTAACGACAAGACAACGATATCGACTGACTTATGTAGTATGGAAGCCATGGATAATTCCACATCTATACATACGAATAAGGGTATAAATTTAATCAAGCAAAAAAATAATGCCAATAAGCAAAATATTACAGATAAAAATTCAAATCCATGCAGTTTTCTTAATTTATCGGCCAAAAGTCATAAGAAAAATAAATGTATCGACTGGAATCGTTTGGCGAATGATGAAAAAATGGAGCTGGAGTGTTTAATAAGCGAGGGAATAGTCGATGAAAACTGTCGACCTTTCTCTGTTAATTTGCCATCCATATGTTTAGAAAGAGCTGGGCCAGGTCATATTTTAAATCCGTTTATCCTAAATTCCGAAGATACTGAAGTATGCATTAAGATAACTTCACCAGACAATGGATGGTCTGAAAATTATGCCGTGAAAAATATTCTACGACTGAAAATTGCTAGTGTAAACGATTTTTGTCGAAAAGATGGCAATACCGAATCGTTCACAAGTTTTGTTTTAAAGCCATTGTACATGAAAGCAAACAACAACAATCATGGATTAAAAAAATCGATATTTAGATCAGATAAATACAAATACCTTAACGGCGTTACTTGTCTGATTTGTACGACTCAAGAAGGTTACATTTATCATTTTAATGCAGAAAACAGCGACGATAGTAATCCTACTTGCTTGACTACTTATCCATTTACATCACCGGTCGTTCACGTTGCATTAGAGTACACAGTTTTACATGCCTTGACAGAGGCTGGATTAGAATCGTATACTTTACGCTTACCTCATTATATTGCAAAAACAACAACGCAGTCGCAAAGTTTTAAAACTATTTGCCCTGACATTTCCGAGCCGATCTGTCTAATTGGACTACGTCCTTTCTTAGGAGTTCAAAAATTACTTAGCTCGGATAAATATATTGTACTATTGGCTAAAGCTGAAAATTCTTGGACATTGTATTCATTGAAATTACCAAGGCCTGAAAATGTTTATTACGACATTGTAAACGCTGCCAAGAACCATAGGTAAAGAATAAACAAATGCAAGTTTGTGCATTTTACGTGTAAATCAGTCTTAATAGTATTATTTTTGTTGTACCGAGAGTGCGCCGATTTTTCATTAAAAATATATGTATTATTCTTGCAGGACAAGTAGCCCATCGACTTATCGCCATTTGCTGGAAGAGGCCCATACCATATTACGCTTAGCGAAAGATATTGCGGATCCTCACAGCAATCAAACGCAAAGTGACTCGACATTGGAAACCCTTTACAATCAATCGTGTGCACTTCTAGGAGATTATTTCATAAAATCAGATTCCGAATTGGAAAGACGCCTGTGCATAGCATATTATAAAATGTCGGGATTAAAACCTAGTGCTGTCCTTTCTCGAAAGTCAACGGGCAATGCTCCTGGACTGGTGACCTACATAATCGATGTCTTAATGACCATACAGAGTGGACCAGAGGCCGATGCACTTTTCCAAGGTCAAAATATCGTGGAAATTATTAGCAACGAGAGTAGGGAACATTTGCTTAAAATTATTTTAGGAAGCGTTGTTCTTCGAGAATACGGGACCGATAAGTTAATAAAGCTCTTGGTATCGCAAACCGAAGATGATTACAGTCAGCTTGCTCTCACTCTACTCTACATTCAGGCGGAGAAGCAAACTTTGGCAGAGACAGCCTTACACTACATTTCCGATAAATTTCTTTTTTCCACAGTGCTCGATTATCCTCATCTGCTCTTCGACGAAGGTGCGTTTGACTCTCGGAATAGAGCTATTCTATGCTTTTCAGATTTTTCAGCCACTCTAATTTGTCACAAAAGTCTGGTTTTCGCACGAATTCTTACGCAATTAGTCGAAGATGAAGTGCTCACTTTGCATAAAATCATGCAGGTAATTTCAATGATTTATAAAGCTTTGCTAACTTTCACACATCTGCTCATTACTATTCATTATGCTTTCACGACTATAACCTATCTCTATTAAAATTATTATTTATCTTTATAAAAGAAGATGAATGTGCTTTAAATGAAGAATGATAAATCGGAAAGAGCGAGTGTGGCTTTGATAATTAGTCATGGAAATGTCGTGCACTAGTCAAAGAACATGTAATGTTTAAAGAGAGCCATTGAAATGTCAGTTAATGCTCATCGACTTTAGCATTTAGATAATAATGACGATACAATTTTCCAGGTATTCCTAGAATATTTACCATCACGGGTCGGAAGAGATGGACATGATGCAGCAGCTGCCTTGCAGCAATTCCTTGAAACATACCTCCGTACCTATTTCACAAAATTGGATGATAAAAGTGACATGAACTACGATATTGCCTTGATCGAAGCTTTTAAAATTCTCGTTAGATCGTATCTGGGTAAATTGATGCAGTCGAAAGTCTATAAGACGGATAATCAATCGTCTGAGATGAATCATTGGCCGGACGACGACGCTTATCTTTTCGAAAGTCGTAGACCAAAATATTTAGATAAGATGCCACCGTGCGCCAAAGATTACCAAAAAATTATCAACGCCGTGGATTTTGATGAGTTTTCCAAGTTAAATAATGCCGAAAGCATTAAGACAGTGCGAATTGAAGTTTTGAAGTTGCAAGCTCTGATGGCGAGTGAGTTCTTACCAGGCGAATGCCTTGAGGAGGTCGAGCAATTTCTTGACACCGAGCAGGTAGATGGTGACACAGCTTTTCGCATACTTTGCAATCGAAATACAGAAGCAGTCACGCAAATATTACTAGAAAAATGTCCGCAAGCAGTCCTGCAATATGCTAAGGTATTATAATACTTTCACTATCGATCGGTCAGTTGTCTTATATTTCTTATGCTATCTAAATTTTAATATGCTCATCGTAGGATGTGTATACCAAAGATACGGAGTGGAAGCTGCTCGTTGATTTGCTACAGCAAGAAATATCAAAACACAATTCTAGTCAAGAATCGCGCCTATTCTTTGAGCAAACAATGATCGGTAAAGTAGCATTGTTAATTGTAATTGTAAAACAAATAAGCTGTATACCGAGCAAACATTTCCTTGGCTTATATATATATATATATATATATATATATATATATATTTTTTTTTTTTTTCAAGTTAAACTCTATTCAATTGAATATTAAATGAACTATATATAAAGTATTTTTCACGTTGTTCGCATGTGTTAATTAATGTATGTGGCTTTCAGAAACATTGAAATATTTAGTAGAAATTTTGCCTTTGAAATCGATATACTACATTCTTCCAAAAGGCAACGACGAAGCACTCGAACATTATACGGACATTTGTTCTCGTATTGTTTATGCAGAACACGTAAAATCTTCATTGATGGAGAGTAGTCATCAGTTACTATCAACTTTAAATTTTTAGAGCATCTAAAATACAGACAATTTCTTGTTTTAGATGACATGTCATTAGAAATCTATTCAGAAAAATGTCACCGTGTAATGCAAGTTATTTATAAGTAGTCAACGTTTTATTTATTTACAGTAGTATTTTAATAATATATATATATTTTTTTTTATTTGTGTCGCTTAATGTGGCTTTTTTACACTTATCTATCTAGATTAATAATATAAATAATCGTACATTTTTAAATCTTATATCTTCCTAATTTTCATACGGCTTACCTTATTTTGAAGTTATTCTGAACTTTTAAATGCTTCCAAAAGTACAAATTTATTTATAAACTATAATATAGATGAACGCCGCTTCAATCAAATAATATAAATACACTAAATTGAATAAAATTTGAAAATACAGTTTTATAAAACTGTTTAAGATAATTTGTTTTTTGCATCCAATTATTGTTATTATGAAATAGCAATCTGTTTTAAACTTAACTAAAGAGTTTTATAGTCTCTACGATTACACGCCACATTGTCATTACATAGTATTAAACTAGAGAATACACTAATTTTTGTTTAAAATTCTTTATTATCCAATCAAATAAAAACTAATGAGACTGTTAAAAAAATGTTTGATACTTAATCAAATTTTTTTATGAATCAAGTTGATTTGAAAAAAAAAAAAAAAAAAAAAAAATGATAGAATTCATTATAATGTCATATTGTTTCAATTTTATTAATGTGATAATTGTGTCTTGACATATTGTCAGCTATTATAAATATATTTTAATATTTGTGCAAATTATATCAAATCTAAATATATAAACATTGTTGTTACTTTAGTCAATTTTATTGTAAACAAAAATTATAAAATTATATATATATATATCTGTTTTAATTATAAAATTCTAATAAATATAAATTAAATTATAAATATATTGATTTTATTTTCAATTCCCTAGATCTTGACTTAAAGCTAAATCATAACGTATTTAATATTAACACTTTAATCATTAATTCTGTATCTATATTTTTTATATAATTATTTAAGACGAAAAAACATGATTTCGTTTTATCAAATAATCAAAAATTGTAGATTACTATTGCACATGTATTTTACTACAAAAAAATTCTTATCGATACCTGAAAATGTTTTCATTATTATTTAGAAAGGTTATGTTAGTTTCGAAAGGATTTATTTAACAGATAATGTAGTTAATGGTGAATTCATAAATTAATACATTAAATATTTAACTTAAATAACAAAATGCTATTTTCTGTTACTGCGGACACAATCCGAAAAAACCGTTTTATTTTATTTGGTACATTATAAATTTAATTGATTTGTATCAGAAGGTTATCACTAAGTAAATAAATATTTTAATGTCAAGAAAATGGATAGTTTTTTGTACAAAATATTATAAGTATGTTATTTACAAATTGAATATGAGGGATAAATTTAATAAAATTAAAATTATTAAGAGCTGTTTATGATTTTTACTAAACATCTTCAAGATGTATGATATCAATCTAAATAACTATACCAGTGGAATGACTTTAGGTAAGTAAATAAAAAACATAAAAACTTAAGAAGAAGTTATTTGGTAATGTCAAGTTTATTTTTAGGTGTTTCAAATAATGGAACGAGTACTGTGCATTTAGCTTTGCATAAAGCAACAAAGAGTTATGTTGTTATTAAAAAATATTTTATCGATGACAAAGAGCCCGAAGATTATAGTTTTATTCAACAGGAGATAATAACAACGCGACAATTACAACATCCAAATGTTCTTCCATACCTTAATGCTTTTGTATCTGGTCATGATATTTATGTTATTTCACCACTTATGAGTTATGGCTCTTGTAGTAATTTACTTCAGGAACATTTTCATCAAGGTTTTCCAGAGCTTGCAATTGCATTTATCACAAAGGATGTATTACGTGGACTCGATTACATACATAAAAAAGGATTCATACACAGGTGAATTTTTTTATTTCAATTTACATTTAGACAATACAATAAAGAATATTTTTTTAAATACAAATAATTACATCCAATGTAATTTATACTTATATAAATTATCCTATATCGATATTACAAATTTTATTAAGTTAAGTAATTTCTTTTAAAGAAATACAAAAGTGCTTACAAAATTCCTTATGTCTAACGTTTATTATTTATCGATTAATTCATTCTGATCATCTACTATTAATAATAAAACGAACAAACGAAGCTCAATAATTATTGTAATAATTAATTTTTTTCTAGAGCACTGAGAGCCAGTCATGTTCTTATTTCTGCAGAGGGACGTGCTTGCATATGCGGTATGCGATATTCTTGCGACGTTGTCAAAAGTGGTAAATGGTTGCGTACTATTTATGCCTTTCCCAAATCCAGTACAAACAATCTTAAATGGCTTAGTCCAGAATTACTTCAACAAGATCTTCGTGGTTACAATGAAAAATCAGACATTTATAGTCTAGGAATGACAATCTGTGAATTGGCTAATTGCACAGTACCTTTCTCCGACGTACCAGATACCTTAATGTTAACTGAAAAAGTTCGAGGTTCCACTCCCCAAATAATTGACAAATCCACATTTCCAGTTGATGTAATGGATATAGAAGAATGTAATCGTATAGTTTTGATAATTTAATGTTACATTTAATGATTTTAATGAAAATTGATAGTATATTTAATTTTCAATAGCTGGAGAAGAAAGTAATTCAAATTCTAAAAAAAATATTAAAGCAATGGCAACTCGTAAATTTTCAGAACCATTTCATGCTATTACCGAGCTTTGTCTTCAATGCGATCCAAGTAATCGACCAGGAGTTAAACAATTATTGGCACATTCATTTTTTAAGCAATGTAAAAGAACTAATAATACGCTGCTTAGTATTTTGAAACCTGTTAAACCATTAAATGAACGATTTATGGATTCTGTGGGTAAGAAACAAGTTGAAACGAGAATTGGAATTAATATTTTTGAAACTCAATTACTGTATTAAAAAGCTACGTTGTTCTTTATTTTTTTAGAAGATCAAGCTATGGTAGTAACAACGGAATTAGAAAATCTTGAACTTGAAAGTTGCCAGTGGGATTTTGAAAATATTTGAGCATCCATTGTATCTCTTACGAATACTATTTTTTAAATTAAGCTCAAAACTTATGATTATGTTGTTAGTTGATTTTTATCAATGCCTTTTGACAATTTTTAAATTAGATTTGATAATAATACAAGTTTATAAATACAATTTCTTATTTTTGTAAATAAGATTTTATAAACACCAATATGAAAAATGAGATTAATGAGTAAAGTTCATAGAATTATGTTAATAAAATTCTTGATAATTGAAAGTTTTTAATTATTTTTATCTTTTGATAATTAAAATTTAACATTTATCATAAACATTAGAATAAAGAGAAAATTTATAAAATTTATAAAGACGTTGTAATTATTTTCTTTAATCGATAAATTAATGAAAATTCTGATATTATTCTTTAGTACTAGATAAAATGCTACGTAGTTTGCATTATAACGAATAAGTATTATTAATTTTTCATTAAAACTGCATTTAAATATGTTAATAATTTTTTTCAACATGGCCGTTTTGTATTCTTGCATAGCATAAATTTAACCTACAAATTTTATCACTATTATTGATAGCTTAATGCACATAGTTTTGTGATTGTAAATACAAATGATAATGAAAATAAGTTTAAAATTATGCCATAAAAGCTCTAGATTTTTATAAATCAACTTAAGTGTTTTTTTTACAATATTTTGCAATAATGTTCTAGATATATTAATCCAATTAATTATAAATTTTAACTTATTGGTTCGCTAAAAAATGAATTGTTTAGAAAATTTTTTAATATTATTTATTTTATCTGGTTCATTTATATTGTCACAAGCAGAAACTGATACATTTGATGAAGAACTAATGATAAAACCTTTACCAAATGGATATGTTTATGCTTATTTTCAATTCACTACTTTATGGAAAGCTGCAAATAATATAGAAACATGTATGTAAAACAATAAATTAGTATTATTCTTGTTAAAAAAGAAAATGGATATTTTATGAGAATTAATCGATTCTTTTTAATTAGTAAAACATACACACTTATTTCCCCGAGGACTTGCTGAGATAATTGGTAGACATCACGTTGATGAATTACACGTTACTTTAACCGAAGGTCTTTGGAATTATGCAAAATTTGGTTATCCATTTTATAGCGCTGGACCCGGAGTTGAAATTTCTACCTGGTTTAATAAACGTGTCGCAGAGTAAGTAATGAAAATCCAAATTAAGATAGAATTTGCATTGAAAGTTTGGATTAAGTAAGATTGTAAAATATAAAAATATTGTTTTAATAATAAATTTTCACATATCTTTCAATTATATTTCAGTGTGAATCAAGAATGGAAAGGCTTAACAAATGCATTATCCGGACTATTATGTGCTTCGTTAAATTTTGTTGACCCTTCAAACAGCCTGTCACCTGAATTTAGTTTTAGACCTACGGGTGCCGTAACGCAGATACCAAAATCTAGTTTTTTACGATACTCATCCTTACCAAGAGAGACAGCGTGTACAGAAAACTTAACACCTTTTATAAAACTTTTACCCTGTGATTCTAAAGTATGATGTTTCTTATATAATGTAGCATACATTTTATTATTATTATTATATATATTATTATTATTTTTATTTATATAGAAGGGGCTTGCAACACTATTGAACTCGGCATACATTCATAACACAAATTATCATTCTATAGGCATACATTTTCGTTCGGTCTGTGGTAATTCAAAATGTACAAAATTATCTCTAGAACTAAGACAAACTGTTTCACTTGTTTATGATACTGTAACATTTGACACACCGGTAATTATACTTCACAAATCACTTTATCAATATAAAAATTATATATTATAATTTTTTAAGTTTATAAAAAGTTATCAAGATACAAATTTTTTTATTTTGTTCACAGAATTTCAGAATTAATAATCAAATTTTTAATATTACAGGATTGGTCGACCAGAAAATTGTTTGGTATAGGTTTAAGAGGTGCTTGTCCTCTCGCAACATTGAGCAGCATTTATGTCGATCTCTCAGGAAATGAAACGACTCATAATTTTAAGTTATCACCCCAGCCAGATACAACTACCGTAAGTTTCAGAGGAGGGCAGGAAAATAAATATGCTATTTACAATGTGAGATCGAAAACGGCCGAGGGAGCTCTTAGTATAGCTACCGTCCATAGAATACAAAAATCAGTTGCCTCTAATTATCCATCAATTTTGTATGCAAATAGATATATAATTGGTAAGTGATCAAAGTTTCTCCAATTCAAATTGCTATTACCATACCTCTTAAGGGCACTTTAGATTTGCATTTTCTTCAATCGAACAAATGAATAAATTTTATGACTATTATATATAAAGCGTCTGTATCATTATTAAAAAATATAGTAAATTTATGTGAATAAATTTTTGTAATACAGGATATGGCCAGGAGAAAGGATCATTGGTAACAAAGATTTATAACAATTATTGGAAATCACTGGACATTGTATTATTAGAAAATGTACCTTGGTATCTGTCTTTATATTTACATACCATGAAAATCACCTGTAATGGTGAAACTATTAAACCACGTAATTAATAATTACATGTAGCATGCTGATTCGTAATTCCAATACATTATCGATAGTGGGACTTATATTTGTCATTTGTAGTGGCCCGGCGATATATTCCTGGAAAGGAGAGAAAACAGCCTTATTATTTAGAACTTATTTTACGTTTACCTCCGCATTCGGTGACAAAGCTCTTCGTCGATGTCGATTACATGTTCTTGAAGTGGCAAGAATATCCTCCAGATGCGAATCATGGTTTTTACATGGGGCCCGCGATAATTACTGCATTACTTCCAATTGCCAGGAATTACACGGCTTTGCCACAAGATGGTAGTACAATAACTTCAATGTGGGTATTATTTTATGTTAATTTTGTCATCATAATAAAAAAAAATATATATATATATATATAAAAAAATAATAAAAAAAGAAAAGAAAAAAATATATCATTGCTCTATATATTAAATTTATTAGGAATGTAGAATTAGAAAGTAGTAATGAGAAACGAAAATTTGGTTCTAAAAGAATGAAAAACTCTAAGGAACTAGATTAATTAAATATATATTTTTACATGCATATTTCAATAAATCATGTTCATATTTTCCTTTCTTCTATATATATATATATATATATATATATATATATATATATATATTTTTTTTTATTATGATGACAAAATTAACATAAAATAATACCCACATTGAAGTTATTGTACTACCATCTACAAGTTCAAGGCTCTTCTGTATCTTTCAGGCTATTAATAATTTTTTTCTTATCAAACATCAACGTTAATATGTAAATTAGCCTTTTTCGCTTTTGATTAAATTAAAAAAAGTTAAAGTTATATTAATATAATAATTTACCCTTTGATAATGAGTGTGTTTGATAATAAGAGTTTAAAATAAGAAAAAAATAAGAAAAAAATAAGATGGATCAATTATGGAAAATTTATTATAATAATGTAATTCTATTTAATCGTTTGTTGAAAAAAGAATGTCCCATAAAATTATTTGGTTTAAAATAGCAACAGTAATTTAAATTTATACGAAACTTGTAGGTGCAAATTACAAATTATTTTAATTATAAAATTTAGCGATTTTGTCCTTTCGCGTACGAAATTTCTATATATTTATTTAAAATTTCGTAACAATAAAACTAGAATATAAGTTAAAGTATTATTAAATCTTATGAGTTAATTCATATAAAGTGTTATGTAATTATTTGGAGGCATCATGCGAGTACATATTATCGATAAAATGACCTATTTATGTGGTATCGTCTTTAAAAACTAGACGAATAAAGTAAATGCGATCGGAAAAGTTTTACGATATTATCAAAAAGTAAGATGACACCAAGTTTTCTTGTAATAATTTTCATTTAATTTTTCATTTCTTCGTCACCCTCAATCGCCCCATCAAATAACAATTTTTTATTCGCTAGTTATATTCGAATGATTTGATTTTCATATTTTTCGCAGCAAGAACAAAAGTTTATTTGTCAGTCATCGCGCGTTGAATTCAGACACGCTCGCGCACAAAAACACAAAACACGCACACACATACTTACACATAATGCACACGTAGTTTACATTGTCGTTTCTCTTTCTCTCTCTCTCTCTCTCTCTCTTTCTCTCTCTCTCTCTCTCTCTCTCTCTCTCTCTCTTTCTCTCTCTCTCTCTCTCTCTCTCTCTCTCTCTCTTCACGTTCTTAATAATAGAGAAGCGGAAAATGGTTTGCAAGAATAAGCCAAAAAGTTATAATATAAATGAATGTTGGGGATTTTAAGCTTAACGCTATACTCTTTGGTTCTTGAACTTGAGCACTCTATAGTTTTGACATTTTCCAAGCGAACTTGTTTTTTTTTTTTTTTTTATCAGGGATGCACCAAAGCTTGCGTGGTCTCTTTACAGATTCAATGGTACGAGGGAGGGTTATCTTGTCCAGTTGCGCACGGAGAGTATCCTTATAAGTCTGCCGACGCCGGACTTTAGTATGCCGTACAACGTCATCTGCTTGGCTTGTACAGCGGTCGCCCTGGCTTTCGGGCCCCTTCACAATATCTCCACCAAGCGGCTCGTACTGAAGCGAATCGAGAAACAGAGCTTCTTCCTGTCTATACTCGGGAAGGTGCGACGCGTCCTCGGCTTGAAGGAAAAGACCTCCTAGATCGTGATCGCGCTTCTTTGCCAGAGCCTCGTCTTCGCACGGAGCGCGGTCTTGGTAAAGTAGGGGCTCCGCTTCGAAGGATGAGGAGCAGTAAGAGTAGAAGAAGGAGAAGGAGGTAGAGGAGGAGGACGAGAAGGACGAGAAGGACGAGGAAGAGAAGGAGGCTCTCGTTGGCAGTGGCACGCCGTCACCAGACCAAACACTTTTTCATGGGATTCATGGGGCTGCCGAGGGGACAGTCATAGACCTTGGCAAAGTCCTCCGAGTTGGATAGAGTGCCGATGACGCGATATCTACCCGGCGAATGGACCGCCGTTTTCAACTTGTTTTTCATCGCTTCGGGCCGCATCGAGCCGCACCAGATCTGCGCGAAATTTAGGAAGAACAGCTGCCTGCCCGTGGCCTCGACACCCGGTAGACTCTCGTTCGCGTTCTTATTTAACATCAGCCACTGCTCGTAGGCCTGTTTCATCCCATAAAGTATAAATTACAATCAAATGGCATCGTGTGAACAAGTGTTTTTGAGCGCTCGTCCGATGCCCATGGATTAACTAACACATCCGTGTGCGTTATTATGCTAATCTAACGAGCTCTGCGAAACCGAGCTTGAAATGAATTTTATTATGCGTCACAGTTACCGCTACGTATTTCCAAAATTTAATTTTTATCAGGACAGTTTATAATACTCAGATGACCGCAGCACGCGCGCGACATTGGACCTTTTGTGAATTCGTACGAGAGCGGAAAAGGGCATTTCAAACTAAAATTCTATTATATCATTATACGTATTACGATGGTGGAGACAGAGATTACGGTCTTGAAGATGTAGACTCGAAGATGTAATCTCGCGTGCTTCTATTCTTCTCTAGTCGAATTCACTCAAGCAAATACTCAAGAACAAACAAAAACAAAAACAAAACAAAAAAACAAAAAAAATTTTTTTATTAATAATTATAAAGAACAATTAGCGAAAAGCAAATTAAACGATTATAGTAGGTTACGGTTACCCTTAGTTATTACATAATCATGAGATTTCCAATTTTCTAAAGTAGTTATGATGAAATTATTACTTGATAAAGCGTGAATTAATATTATCGTCGAATCGTTCGTGTCAAGTCTTGTTATTTCACTCGCTTTTCAATACCGAGTATCCTCAGCGACAAACTTTTTATTAATTTATTAATTTTTAATAGATAAGGAGCCTATATGTAATCTGTAACTTAAGCCTGTAATGTTCATAAAGATCACTTACTCTGAAGGCTTGTTTTATACCGCCGTTGTCAGCAATATTTTCCCCCTGTGTATTGATCCCATCAATTTGCATTGCGACGTCTTTAACTACGTATTTACTATATTGGTCTGGAAAAAATAGTTGTCCATTAAAAAATGGTAATTATTGAAATCTAATCCGGGGATAATTCGAATGCGATTACTTTTTTTTTTTTTTTCCCCCTTTGGTTTTTTGTTTTTATTTTGCATTAATAAAATAGAATAAATAAAATGTTTTTCATACTACGAATGATAAATTGATTAGTTATTTTTTCCATACAAAATATCTATGGTCGATGACACAATTACGATATTCAATGTGCATCAATGAAATTTAACTTAAACATTTGTTTACAACGTAGTCTAAATATTTCAATAATTGTCGAATTTAACTTAGCCGAAAGCACAATATTAAAAGGAAATATATATATATATATATATATATATATATATATCTTTCAATGTGCATGTTACGCGCACAAATTATATATACGAGAATAATTACGCGAAAAATGTCGAGGCTTGTTGTAATGTTTATATTAATAAAAGATAATCGAGAGTACGAGAGCTTTGACGTTTGTCTTCGCGTAAACATTAAGGGGACAAAGAGAGAGAGAGAGAGAGGAGGGCAAAAAGAGGCGGCTAAAGGCGCCGGAAAGTGCGCTAACCGACGAGACAAGAGGCTCTTTGATTGAACTCGTTGATGGTCTCATCGCTCCACCATCGATGGAGGTTCCCGTACTTGTCAAACAGCCGGCCCTTGTCGTCGAAGCCGTGGGTGATCTCATGCCCGATGACAACGCCTATGCCCCCGTAATTGAGGCTTCGCGGGAAGTCTTTGTGATAAAAGGGTGGCTGCAGTATGCCAGCTGGAAACACTGTTGGATAAAGAGCAGCCAGTCAAGCGAAAGGTTCGACGATTCGTTTAAATGCAAAGCCGGCGGATGAGGGAAGGAGCGAGACACGACGACTAGCGCGCTTGTTCATAGATTAATGATCTATCTGTGAGTATAATCTGGGCTTTGGTAAAGAGACGTTGGCCTGCAATAAATCAATTGTTTTCAAGAAACGACAGCGTTAAAAATCAATAACAATTGCCAGGTGATGATTTTTTTTTCTTTCTTTTTTCTTTCTTTTTTCTTTCTTTTTTCTTTTTTCTTTCTTTTTTCTTTTTTCTTTCTTTTTTCTTTTTTCTCTTGTAAATTAATTATACGTGATTTGTGTTATTCGTTAATAAGCGTTTTATTCTCTCCGGTGTCGTAGCTTTTTTTCTCTCTCGTTTATAACGTCAGCAACAACATATATTGAGTGTTGGAGGGAGGGATTATGAAATTTCAAGCGTCAGCTTCGCGAAGAAATACTCAAGGATAATTAATTAGCTCTATAATATTATTTTCAAGTGGAATTTCTAATGATAGTTTTTTTTTTTATTATTTTTTTTTATTTATTTATTTTTATTTATTTATTTATTTTTCTTTTACTCAAGGCTCAACGAGCTTTGAGGCAATCACGCTTCATTAAAGTTAGATCTCGAATTTTTCGAACTATTGTATTTCTCTTGGATCTTTCGAGCATTCGAGAACAGTCGTGAAAGCACGAATTGAAGTATCGAATTCACTTACTAATTTGGTTCTTATTGCGACTGTAATAAGCGTTTACTATTGCCGGGGCCGCGTTCCACGTTGTCTTATTTACGGGACTGTTCAGTTTGTTCTGCTCGATCCTCGTCAAGTGGCGTAAGATGTTCAAAATGTTCTCGAAATATTTGTCCGGATGAATGGTTACCTGTGATGAAAAACAGTAACCTGTTCGGCGGTTAAACGTCGCTTTGTTCGATGGATGGTTCGATCTATGGTTAGATGGAGGAGATTGGATGGATGGAACGGGCGACTTTCATCAAGATTATTAAACTTTCGATTTTATAATATAATATCACTTAGCACGTGTAATAATGTCGTTAATTTACATTAGTTTCGGCATAATAAGAAAATGAGATCTTTGAAAACAAAATTCACTTATAATTTAACATAAGATTAATAAAATTATTGCAATAACCACAAAACTATAACCCAGTTGCAAACGAATAATTTAATCGATTTTACAAGTACAAAGAATATTATATTGATTTGGTGATCGATAGTTTTGGTCGATGTAATTATGATAAAGACAAAAGGAACGAAAACAAAAGGAAAAGTTGTCTCTAATTAATCAATATCAATGATCGATTGTAATTATTAAAATGGGAGATACTTTGAAACCGTTAACACGACTAATGCTCAGCGATATGTTCATTATCATTTTATTAAAGTTACTTGCTGTCTTTTATAAGTCTCGACGTTCGGACGTAAGTATTTTTTAATTTTTTAATATAATTGCGGTCGTATTATTATGCAGATATTGCGCGATGAAAGCATACGGTTACGCATTCGATTCGAAGTTTAATCGATAATTATAAAAAAGCTTAAGATTACATTTGTTTGAATGTAAATCAAAATTAATACAAATGAATCTTTGATGATGATGATGACAACGACGATGATAGGTTTGTTACCGCTTCGCTTATGCATATTTGTACTTTTAACAAATTAAATCAATGCTATCGATGCAAGTACTGCTAAAAGCCTTACGTCCTTGTAGCGGCTGTCGAGGTCCTTGGAGTCCAGAATAAAATCAGGGTATCCGATGCGGAGCTGCATCGCTTCGACTTTTTCACTGGCGATTCGATTCGTCATCGGATCCAACCAATTCGATTTATTCAGCAGCTCGCGAAACGCATGCTGGATCTCATGAGTCATCGACAGTGTCTATGAATTATACGGAATTAAATAAGTTAAAGAGATTCTATTACGATTTCCTCACTGTCTTAGCGCATACTACAACGAATTCAACATTACAACGAACAATTATTTCGTCCATAGTTGTTTATTCACTTTTCTGATTTATTTGAGCAATTGCGCTATAACGAGTATATTTCTTAACTATGTTAACTATATTGCCAATATAAAATATTATCAATTCGTATCTTAGATTTTATAAAATACCAATCATCGAATAACAAAATATTGAATTTGCCTATCGTAAAAGTCACATAATTAAAATAACGTTTTTTAAAGCATTAAAATTATGATGTGTAATATTTTAATAATTTTATATGTAAAAGTCGTTCGTAAAGATCGTACAATTTTATTAAAAATAAATGTTAAAATATTCCACATATAATCGTTTATTAGATAACTAACAGGGTTCTATTATTATAATAACGCTCAAATAATTGTTAATGCTGAATATAATTTTTATTTTCTTCTATTGTTGTTTCGTATGAGTGCTCACTCAATGAAATGAAATAATTCAAATAATTAATGTCTCGTGGAATTTTAAGAAATTACAGTAATGTATGCGTTTCATTGTAATAACATGAATGAATAAATTACGTCGTTTTTACTCTGCTCGTTAAAATACTTTCTCACAAAAATTGAGCCGACCGCCATGCCCATGTTAGAGTTCACCTGCGATACGCAATTTTTCCACCGAGATGGCGACTTCTCCCTTCCAAATAAAATGTAATAGAACGTCTGCTTCGCCTCTTGAAATCGATCGTCCAAGTTGTTTACCCGATGTCGAATAAAACGCCAAAAAAGATAATTAGCTATTACTCTGGGGGACATAGAATGATTTATTTATTATATGAATATTCTAAAAAAAAAAAAAAAAAAAA